ATATCACAACACTGTAATCATGCAAAATACAACATAATGGAATTTCAGAAAAATTCAGAAGATAATTCGTAGACTTTCTACAGTTTGATCTTTTTCTTTAACCTTCTTATCATTTTCATTTCTCTTTTCCTTTGAAGGTAATAACGGGCAGGAGAATCAAGATTCCTGTGAACTGTTCCAAGCGATCAATGCTCAAGATGGAACGGAGAACTTTGGAATTCAAATAGAAAGTCATGAAAGAAACCAGCCAAACAATTGGAATCAGGAAAGCTCATCTTCCACTGATGCTCCGATGCAAGAAAAAATAAGGAAAAAATATATTGGGCAAAGTGTGAAGCTAATTAAATCTAAATTACATGTAAACGAATGCTATTTAACCCCCCAAAAAGGAGAAGATACTATAAGAAAATACAATGGAGAAAATTATAATGGGACATTCATTCTTTCTGTTGGAAATAACTTCCGTACATCTCAAAAAGTGATTCACACAAAAGAGAAGCCTTATAAATGCATGGTGTGTGGAAAGACCTTTACTCGAAATGATAGTCTTGTATGCCATAATATGATCCACACAGGGAAAAGGCCATTTAAATGCATGGAATGTGGAAAGGCCTTTGCTCGAAATGGAGGTCTTATTTCCCATAAATTGATCCACACGGGGGAGAAACCGTTTAAATGCATGGAGTGTGGAAAGGCCTTTGCTCAAAAAGGTAATCTTATTTCCCATGAGATGATACATACAGGGGAGAGGCCATATAAATGGATGGCATCTAGAAAGACCTTTGCTCTCAGCAGTAGTTTTGGTATTCACAAAAAGTTCCATCCAGGAGAAAAGCTAATTAAAGAGAAATTGCATGTAAATGAACACTATTTAACCCAAAACAAAGAAGATGGTATAAGAAGACACAACAGACAAAATTACAATGGAACATTCATTCTTTCTCTTGATAATAACATCTGTACATCTCATAAAGTAATTCACACAAAAGAGAAGCCTTATAAATGCATGGTGTGTGGAAAGACCTTTACTCGAAATGATAGTCTTGTTTGCCATAATATGATCCATACTGGGAAAAGGCCATTTAAATGCATGGAATGTGGAAAGACCTTTGCTCGAAATGGAGGTCTTATTTCTCATAAGTTGATCCACACGGGGGAGAAACCATTTAAATGCATGGAATGTGGAAAGGCCTTTGCTCAAAAAGGTAATCTTATTTCCCATAAGATGATACATACAGGGGAGAGGCCATATAAATGCATGGAGTGTGGGAAGACCTTTGCTCAAAATGGAGGTCTTCATCGCCATAAGATGATCCACACAGGGGAAAAACCATATAAATGCATGGAGTGTGGAAAGACGTTTGCTCGGAGCAGTAGACTTACTACCCACAAAAAGATTCACACAGGGGAGAAACCATTTAAATGCATGGAGTGTGGAAAGACCTTTGCTCGAAATTGTGATCTTCTTTGCCATAACAGGATTCATACAGGGGAGAAGCCATATAAATGCATGGAGTGTGGAAAGACCTTTGCTTTCAGCAGTAGTCTTGGTAGTCACAAAAAGATCCATACAGGAGAAAAGCCATTTCAATGCATGGAGTGTGGAAAAACCTTTGCTCTGAGCCATAGACTTGCTACCCACAAAAAGATGCACACAGGGGAGAAACCGTTTAAATGCATGGAGTGTGGAAAGACCTTTGCTCTGAGCAGTAGACTTAGAAGCCACAAAAAGATCCATACAGTGGAAAAAAACATATGTCCATGAATTGTTGAAAGACATTTGCTCAGAGCAGTAGTCTTGCTTCTCATAACAAAAGGACAGAAGCCATTTAAATGCATGGAATGTGGAAAGACCTTTGCTCTGAATGGTCATCTTACTTCTCACAAAAGGATCCATGCTCGGGAGAAACTATATAGCAATGTCAATTCAACTTAGACTTATCTTTCACCATAATGCTTCATAACACACACTGAGCAGTTTACAAAGTCGGCATATTGTCACCAGTAATCTGGGTACTAATGATATAGCTGTGCTTTAAATTCTCCAAAGGGCTTAAGCTTCCTAGTCACATTTGTTGAGGTGAATTTCCTACTCAATTCCTATGTAAAATTTTACCTCATTATGAGGTAACCATTCTGGAATATCCATAGGTTTCAGCTTTTTCTCCATTTTGGAACTGGTTTTCTTTTTTCTTTTTCTTCAGAGTCTGTCTGCAGGCATCAAAGATGGGTCACCTTTGGGGTGTTCATCAGAAGTTGTTGGAGGGGTCTCTGCCCTTTTTGCTCACTGTGAGACTGAGCAAATGATTTGAAAAAGGCACTTGTCTATTGAATTAAAGAAATAAAAAACAAATGCATAAAAATCATTTTTGTGATTGTGGCTTCCCTGGCTGTGTCCCACCTTCCTCCACTTAAGACCAGAGTTCGCAACAACCACAAGAGATAAGCTGGGTTTCCCAGAGAGCCTCCGGGTCCTTCTCTTTTGACTGCCTGGCTGTTTATGACAGGATTTGGACCAGTGGTTGGTTTCCCATCTTTTTACTACTAGTTTGCACATACTCATGGACAATGCTTCTGCACAAAAGCTTCTGCCCATGCACAGAAGCATCCGGACAGGTGGGCGGAGGCTCCCGCCACTGCTACTATTGGTTTGACCGAGCCGAACTGGGAGCAAAACACCTTTGATTTGGATCTTTTAAAAAAAGCAAAACAATTTTTATTTGTTTTTAAACAAAGACAAACATAAAAATATAAAAAACCATCTTCCATTACAAATTGTAGAAAGTGTGTCAGTTGGTTACAGTATTTCCATGCATCTTTTCCATAGTCACCACCTGCTTTTCATATCAAATCGCATATTTTGTGTGAATTACTTTATGA